TTCGACCTATAGTTTTTTTTTTAATTCTTTGATTTTTTTTTTCTTTCTTGTGCTAATTTGCTGCAGTTATTTTGATAGATTTCTTGAATTATTGAACTAGTATCTTCAGGTTTGTCTTGTTATTTTACTTTTATTGACCACTCTTTGTTTTTGAAATCTCTTGCTCTATTCTAGTTTTATTTTTGATTTTATTTTTGCAGCTTGTTTTTTCTTTTGGTAGACTTGCATCTTTTTTTTTTCTATCTTGGCTTTTCTTTTTATCTTATGCTGGTTTGTTATAATGGTTTTGATAGATTTTTTGAATTGTTGTAAAATTTCTTCAAAGCTTCAAGGCTGTTTTATTGTACTGCTTTTGTCTACTTTTTTTTTGTTCTTGGAGTTTCTTGCTCTAATCTGTTTTTAATTTTAATTTATTTTAGCAGCTTGCTTTACCCTATTATCTAGTATCTATCTAATTCTATTAGCTATTCTTAAATCATATATAATATCAGTTATTTCTTCGTATATAATATAACTGGCTAGATTTTTACTTTTTGTATTATTATATAATAATAATAGTAGTTTCTTTCTCTAAGTACAAGTTCTATATACTATATTTCTCTTCTTCTATATTGCTATAATTTTTTGTACAGTTTTTCTATCTGTGTCTCAGTTTCTTCTTCAGTGATAAGATTCTTTTTAGTATAGTCTGCCAATATTTGTTCTATATAAAGTACTACTTCTTTATTAGTTTTGTTACTTGTGAGGTTTTCTGCTTCTGTCTTATTTTCCTCTTCTTATTTCTTAAAATTTTTTCTGCAATTTTTATTGAGTACTCTATATAACTTGCTGTTTTCTTGTTGTTGATCTTTGTTGTTGCCTTTTGCTTCACATGACTTATTGTTTTTCTGTTATTATTGCTTGTTATTGTTGTTTGTTATGATTGTTTATCAGATTTGTTTATATTTATCATATGGTTTTTAGCATATTTTCTTTGTTTATTTTTTATTATATATTGTGATTTTCGTATCACCAAAACAGAATTGTGATTCAGAGTCAAGGCCAATTTTCTAAAAATTTGCAAAGTACAAAAAAATATTAATTTTTTATAACTTCTTCTATTTCTCTGCTGCTTCTGTTTTTTTCTATTCAAGTCTTTTAAAAGACTGGGTATTTTGTATAGTCCTCTTTCTTTTTTTTAAAGCTCTAAATATAGTTTCTTAGTGACTTTTATGTGTTTACTTTAGTTTTTTGTTAATTTTAGTTTTTAAAATTTTGTGTTTTGATAATTAGCAAAAAGAGTTATATATAAACAAAATTTTATTAATAATTTTTATTTATATTTTTATTAATATTTTTTTTAAATTTTATTATATTTTTATATTAGAAAATAACTATGATTAACCGGAGGAGAAATCACCAGTAATTATTAGGGAGAAATCACCTGTTATATTAATAAAATAAATAAGCAGGTTGAATAAATCACTAGTAATTAGGGAAATCACCTGTTAAAATAAAGTAAATAAGTGGGGTTGAATAAATATATAATCAAACTTGTATTATTTTTGTTAAACAAACAAATAAAAGGGCTGTCAACCTTGTTTCGCACAGGTAACATGATATCAAGTGCAGATAAATGGTAAACGTATATTAATGGTTAAAGTAATTTGTAGTTGCGTGATATTAATTAACAAGTATTAACTTGTTTAATTATTGTATATTTCCGGATATAGATTTATTCGATAATACTTATAAAGCAATTGACATTACAACTTATGAAGCTAGCAACATAGCAACATATGAAGTTATCAATACCGCAACATACGATACTATCAATACTACAACATATAATATTTTTAATGATACAACATATGATGCTATTGAAAGTGCAACATACAGTACTATTGAAAGTGCAATATACGAAACTGTTAACGACACAACATATAAAGTGATTAATGATGCAACCTATAAAATTATTGATGATACAATATATGAAGCTGTTGATAGTGCCAATAACACCATGGCTTATGAAAATGCTAATAAGAGCTATTACAATAACACAAATATCAACCTTATATTTGATACAGATTCTTCAAATAAAGAATCTGAATCTTCTCTTAAAATAACTTTAGGTCAGGTTTTTTATACTGAAAATGGTGTTGAACTTTAGAATATTAATTCTTTTGCTGATTCATTCTTAAAATAATTTTAGGTCAATCTTTTCATACTTTGAAAGATGCTGAAAATTTTTTAAATAGATATAGACTAAAAAAAGGCTTTAGTATCTGTAAAAGATGAACTGAAACTAAAACAGAGAATGGTGATATGTTTTTGTATAAGATTAGCTGGGAATGTAGTTGTGCAAGTAAATATAAGGCAAAAAAGATGTTAGATTCAAGTAAATAAAGAAATTGACGGTCAAAGGCAACAGATTGCGAATGGAAAGTTAATTGTAATTTTTCAAAGAGTATATCAATGTTTTCTTTTACCACTATCATGAATACGCATAATCATCTAATGGTACCTTTCCCTTCAACTAATATTGCCAAATATCGCAAGTTTGGTGATAATATGAATAAATTTATTAAATTTTGTGTCTAGCATAGTGTAACTAGTGTACAAAGCATCAGGCATCTTTTGAAAGGAAAGTTTCCTGAAAGAAAGATTTATCAAAAAGGCCTTTATAATGCAATTCAATTTGCAAAAAAAAAATTAGTATTAAGAGTTAAATTCGATATATCAGACCTTATGAAGTATTTATATTCTCAATATGCTAAAGATCAATGATGGTTTATAGAATCAAAGTTTGAGAAAGTTGACCATCAATTATGTGGATTGATATGGTTGTCATCTGAACAGCAATCTTTATAGGCTCGCTATCATGATGTTTTCTTTTTTGATACTATATCCTGCACTAACAAGTATAATATGATGGCCTGTTTCTTTGCAGTAATTGACAATTGTAATAGGACATGACTTGTTGCAACTGTCTTACTTGAAGATGAAACAGAAAATAGTTTTGTTTGGGCTCTAAGTATGATAAAAAAATGTACAGGAGGGTTAACCCCAAGGTTGTGTTTACCGATTCTGATCCAGCAATAGCTAGTACAATAAGTTTAGAATTTGCAGACTCAATTTACTGCTTATACATATTTCATATTGATCTTAATATAAAGAAAAATCTTCGAAATAAACTAGATATAACTGAATTTAAGAAGTTTCATGTAGATTTTTTTAAGTGTAAAAATACGTTGGCTTCAAATCTTTTTGAAAATCGTTGGGAAAAATTAAAAACAAAATATGTATTAGCTAATCATTACATAAAGCACCAATTGGATCTATTTAAATACAAGTAGGCAATATGTTATACAAATAATCAATTACAGCTGGTGCAAATAGTACTCAACAAGTGGAAAAATTAAATCATAAGATTTATAGTTGTATTCGGTTTAATTCTTCACTTTTGTTCTTGGTTAAAGAGATTCAAGAATTACTAGATAAAGAGTTAGAATATGTAAGAGTTGAGGAATATAAAGAACAAATTCCTACTATCGGTTTTCCAACAGTCTCAAAAACCTATTTTAGTATAATTAAAAAGGTTGTTTCGCATTATCTTTTACCTGCAATGGTATTTACTATATATAAACAAATGCAAAAGTGTTTTTACTATTATAGCTTCCTGATAGATAATATTATTATTGATTCTATAATACAGGTTAAGTATTAATTTTTTTTACTTTAATATTTTGCAATGGGCCTATTTAAACTGGCTCACTGCGGAACACTAGTTAACTTTTGTTGTAATAAGCTAAAATATTTTATCTTTTATGATAGAAGCAAATAAATATTAATTATGCCGAGGAAGCAAGAGAAGATAATTATAAACTTAACAAACTACATCTTACTGAAATCATATCATCAATTAGTTGAGATCAGATTTTAGAAATTTGGAGAGTGTTATATCTTGTAGAGTTAAAAACAACTATGTTATATTATTAGTGGATAGATCTCATCAGTGTACATGCAATATCATTATTACTTATGATTATCCATGCAGGCATTTTTACAAGGTTTTACATTGCTCTACTCAGACTAAATGGCATATAGGTAGAGTTGGGCAAATTTTGTAAGTTATATTCTAACTTACATGTAACTTACATAATTTTGCAAATTTACATTAAGATGTACATAGAAATTTAGATATAAGTTACATATAACTTACATCAAAAATTTAAAACTTATATAAAATGTTCAACTCTACATATAGGACTTATTGCAACACATTGGTACAAAGATGATTTTGCTGATGGTAGTGATATTTGGCAGCAATCACCTATTACTTTATGCATGAATTCAGACCAACAACAAAGTATTATTAAATATTCAACATATAAATTTGATTACATTAAGCAAATATGAGGTGCCGAAGTTTATAGTTCAACATTACAAGAGGTTAATAATACAAGACAAAAATATGGGAGAATGCAAGATATAATAAAGAAAGCTCTAGATAT